TGGACTTCAGCTTGGTACACAACATACCCCTAAACTCATTGACTCCTAACTTAGGGTACTTCTTAAACTTTTTCATGAAATTCTTCCCTATCCACCTAGATTTGATGCTAGGATTATTGTAGTTCCAAGAACAACCTTTGTGGTTTTTCTCATAACACTTCACCTGCCAAGATGAGTCATTTTGCATTGGTGAAACAAAAATATACCAACCACACCCCTCTGTGGTACACCTAGCTCTCAATCTTCTTTTGTCATTCCTATCAAAACGAACCACCATCCCTCTTCTATAGCAGAAACCCTGAATAACATCCTTAGCCTCTCCTCTGATTTTGTACTAAAAATCATCCCTAACTTCAACTCAGGGTTTTTATCAGTTTTAGGATTATATTTAGGGAATTTCACAATATTATCCTCCTCATCAGACCCTCTAAAACTTTCAAATGAATCACTATCCCCTAACTCAAGATCATGCTCTTCCTCAAATATACCCTCAGACAAAAACTCATTTTCAATTGATTTACCATTATTTTTTTCATTCACCCCAACAAATTCTGCATCTTTATCAACATTTATGTCAAACAAAATATCATCCTCATCCATATCATAGTCACTATCATTGAACTCCTCACATTCTGAATCACTATCATCAACAGAAGCGCACTCTTCATTTTGTTCATGTTGTTCAGATTGTACAGATTGTTCAGGATGTTCATGTTGTTCAACATTAGAGTTCAGACTACCAAGAAATGAGAGGTCAATCACAGGATCACTTTCAATCTCAAGATTAGAGTAGTTGTTATCAACATGATGTACATGTTCTAAAACAATTCTCACTATTCTATTTTCAGGAATGGGGTTCATAACCTTATATGCCAATTGATCACTATCAATAATATGACTACCATCTTGTAAACTAATTCCATGCACATGCCAGGCATTCACATGATCACTGTTATAACCTAGTTGCTCTATGAAATCCTTTAACTCAATCAACCCAAACATCTCCACATCCACCCCATCAAAATAATCCAAATACCCACCTCGGTACTCTTTCACAGGAATATGCATCATTAAACCACCGTGCAGAAACTCAATTGTGAAAACAGTTGGTTCCAACAAAGGGTCTACAACACAGAAAAAAAAAATCAAATAAACAGAACAGACCAAGGCCATAAACAAATAAACAGAACTGAAAAACCCCTAATTTGTTCAGCTCATAATCGAAAAACACCTAATTTGTTCAGCTCATAATCGAAAAACCACTAATTTATTCAGTTGAAAAAAACCCTAATTTTTAGGGCAACTCTCACAATAATCAGATAATATGGAACTTTTCAAAATTAACCATATAATTTTCATTAATTCAAAAACTTAGTGACAAACTGAAGTGAAAAAACTTACCGTATTGAGGTTGCAACCCACGTATAATCCTTCTCGCCTTGGAGTCGGATATGCTCGTCGGAAATTTGAAATGGAAGCTCACAAACACCAAAACACCAGTCGATTACCCACTTGAATGCGATAAAATGGAAGAAATTTTTCTACAGGAATTAGGTCTGCTCGATTGGAAGAATTAGGGTTTTTTTCACAGCAATTAGGTCTGCTCGATTGGAAGAATTAGGGGAAACCGATTATTTAGGTTTCTTTGGGGAAAGCAACCGGCTAGAGAAGGTGATGGTCAGTTGACTCACGGTCAACTGACGATTTGGGCAAAAATGATGCATTTTCGATACGTTAATGACTACAAGTGATTAAGTTGAAACCACGGGTATCAAAACTGAAAAGTAGGTAAACTTAGGGTACCAAAAGTGAAATTTTCCCTATTTTTAATTATGCAAAATATTTAACAGTCTTGTTGTATGAATATTTCACGTTTAAATCGTTTCATAATATAAATATGTATTTTTGTTAGACAAAAAAATATAACGGGTCAGTTCGTCTTTAGGTCAGAGTTAGACTGTCTTGTACAAGAATTTTCTTTTGAAATATCATTGAGAAGAGAAAATTGAAAGGGATTAACACTGCTTTTATATTTATTTTATTTGAGTGCTTATATATAGTTGTATCATTAAACAGAATTAAAGTGTTTCAGTGTCCTTTTAATGAAAAAAAAAAAAAAAGCTGTGGGTTTTTTTTTTATAATTTACAAGAAAAAAAGCCAAGAAATGTAATTAATCTTTAACTTATTGTTCAATCAGGTTGAAATTATAACAACTTTTTCATAATTTACTGACCCATTTTGGAAGTAAGATTGGGTTAAAAATGTTGGTAAAAGACAAAACAAGTAAAAGAACATTCACTTGTAAATTTTTGTTTTTACTGCCTGCACATTATAATACTGTGTATTGATGAAAGAAAAGTTGTGATTGGGGCCAATAAGAAAGAATCTTCAAGTGAAGACAAATATACGGATTAATATGAAACCCAGATTATGTCAATATATTTATATATATATATATAATGTAGGGTCCAAACCACAGACAAATCAGGGAATCTTTAATTTGTTTTTCAGACCAATTCTTGCTTTCACTGCTGTCTGAAATAATAATAATTATTATTAATTTTATTTATTATTTTTTATTTTTTATTTATATTTTTCTGGGACATGGTAAGTCGCTCTCAGTATTGAAGGGTTATGTGGTTTCTATGCAGGGCGGACGCAGAAATTTGAAAGGGGAGGGGCACAATTAGGGGTGTGCATTGACGACCGAATCAAATTAGGAAAACTGAAATAATTGAACCATACTATACCAATAATCCAAATCGATCGAACTACTTTGTTATATGATATTGAAATAGCTCGTACACATCATCACGTGATGAACTGGAAATACATGACAACTATTACTCGAAATGATTTAAATCCAATAGTTACATAATTAAGGAGTCCATTGAACTATTACTTGAAATTCTTACATAGTTCCACTGAAGTATTGATAATTTAAATCCAATAGTTACATCACCAGTTTCATTCTTATATAGTTCCATTGAAGTATTGATGATTTAAATCCAATAGTTACATCACCAGTTTCGGGCCTCGTATATGTAGTTTTTGAACAGTCGGGCTAGTTTCAATTCGATCCTCTTTTTTTTTTTGGAATTTTTGATTTTTTTTAACGAACTGGGCCGGCCCAGAATCGGCGGTTAACGGAACAAGCTCGTGCATATGTTCGGGCTGGTCCAGGGCCGGCTAACCCTTGGCTGGAACTTGACCCGGAAATATCATATCTAATAGTAAAAAGTCGTACATAGCCATGCCTACTTATGTGATCATTGTGTAATCTAAAAGTAAAAATCCTGATTTGAATGTACCTACCCACCGTGTAAGCTGCTCGTGCCTACTTGTGTGAACACTGTGTGATCCAACAATATAAAACCTTGAGGTGAATGAAATCCGATACGTTAATTGGTTAATAAAAGAATCAAAACGTTTTGACCATCACTTAAACTGTATAAGAATTCATCAGCCCAAGAGTTAAAGAGCATTTCTATAGAACGTGAATTGTAGAACTGTAGTAGACGTTGAGATAAAAAGACTTCTCCAGTGGTGGTGCGTTATTTGGTAGTTGTGATGATGTGGCACGAGAGACTCAAAAAATTCTAGAAGTCTTTCTACATGTGAAAGGCTTTCTACACTGAATGAGTCATATTTTTTCTATTCAGTAAACCATTTATTCAATTGTCAATCCACTCCCAACATTGGAGATGCTCTAAGAATAACAAGTAACATTATTGCCTTAGATGTTCAGATAGCTTGGATGAGTGAGAACAGATAGTGGTTTTTGGTCTTCTTCACCCTCTCCCAATTTCACAATACGTACCCTAGCTCTGTGTAAACTGCTCATGCCTATGTGTGAAAATTGTGTGACGAGTGATCCAACCGTAAAAATCCCAAAGGTTTTTGGTCTTCTTCACCCTCTCCCGATTTGACAATACCTCCCCTCTATGTAAACTGCTCATGCCTATTTGTGTGAACAATGTGTGGTGTAATCCAACATTAAAATTCCCAAAGTTCACTGCTCGTGCCTGCTTGCATTCTTTTATTTTGGGACAAGGAGCCTAATTCTTGTTTGAACACCACTCGTGCCTCTTGTATTCTCATGCCCAATTCTCGCTCGTGCCTACTTGTATTCTTGTATTATGGGACAGTGAGCCCGATTCTTGTTTGAACACCACACATGCCTACTTGAATTCTCATGCCCAATTCTAGTGTTGTAAGATGCCCACGCCTACGTGTATCCTTGTGTCAACACTATAAGCTGTTTATGCCTATTTGTGTGGACACACTATGATTCAACAGTAACATTCTCAACTTCATGCCCCAACATGAGAGTACCTTCCTACTTAGTAAAAGATCTCACACGTACCCACGTAAGTTTTCCGTGCCTACTTGTGTGAATTGTGTGATCTGTGTAATCCAACAGTAATAATCCCGAGTAACTTGTGTGAACAGAGTAAAAATCTTATTACTACCCACGGAAGTTGTTCGTGCCTACTTGTGTGATACAACAGTAAAAATCCCAAGTACTTGACAGTACCAACCCACATAACCTGTTCATGTCCATTTGTGTGAACACCGTATGATCCAAGAATAGAAAAGAACAATTTTAGGGCAGAAATGCAAGCCATTTTCCGCTGTCTGATATTAATGATTTCGCCCAATAGCTTCAACTTCAATCAAGGACCAAAGGCCAATGCATAACAACACTTCTAAGTAGAGAATTAAACTAAAACCATGTATCAACTATATTTCAAATAAAACAACTGCAGGACACATGCAAAATCCATTTCTCAAAATGAAAACAACACGAAACCTTGAACACTAACAAATTGAGTCTCAGCATCTGACAAGATTTTATAACGCAACACAAAAATTCTCAGAAATCCCAAAACAAAGGATAACATAACTGGGTAGAACATATAACCTCTTGGGTTCAACGAGAAATGAGCATCCTAAAAGCAGATAAAATCACGCATAAAACAACAGTAACGAACAATGTTCATCGCTTTTTGGAGACACCAACAGTCTTTCCCCTACGACCGGTAGTCTTGGTGTGCTGTCCACGCACTCTGAGGCCCCAATAGTGACGCAAACCACGGTGGTTCCTGTAAATACCCCCACAGATGATAAATTATAAGTAATTGAACAAAATAAAAGCTAATGAAACATATTGTTTCTCAAAATACGTACACACAGGTTTTTTAGGTAGGACAATGTTTTAAGTAAATAGTCTAACCTGATCTTCTTGAGGCGCTCAATGTCATCCCTGAGCTTCATGTCAAGGGCATTTGATGTAACCTGAGAATATTTCCCATCCTTGTAATCCTTCTTTCTGTTCAGGAACCAGTCTGGGATTTTGAATTGACGAGGGTTGGCCACAATCACCATCAAGCTGTCGATTTCTGCAGCTGAGAGTTCACCGGCCCTGTGCAAAATAAACAATCTAACTTCAGATGACTTGCTTCAAGAACATTGGCGCAACGATAACGCTTTAAGGGCAAAATAGCGTGTTGAAAGAATGATAAAGACGCTTAAGCACATGTATTACATTGGCACAACATTCATCGTGCATGATGAAATATTATGAAAAAGCATTTATAATCATACAACATAACAGCAGAACATGCTACTAGTGGTTGTTACGCAACCCTTGAAGAAAATGTTAAATCACAGTTTAGTCATAACCAATTCAAAATCAAATGTTAACTACTATAATAACACAAAACGACATAGAATACACAAAAGAGGCACTTCAAACAAAATACATTACAATGAGCTGGAAAATAAAATAAGGTCTGCTAACGGCAATTATGGTTTTGTCAGCTATACAGAAAAGGGTCATTCAAGATGAAACCAGATTCCTAGTGATCTTCTCAAGTTCAATGCTGCATACACATCGTCAGTTAGAAATCAAGTACAGCAACAAATAGTAATTTAACAACAACAAAAACCAACAACAAGAAATACTTATCACCTGCTTAAGCTAAAATCAATCATACACAGTATATTATGAACATAACACATAAAACATCATTAGTACACGAAGTAGAATAGCATACGATGTTACAAAACACAACACAGCCGCCTTATTTAAATATTATCAATCAGCTCATTTCAACACACAGACAGACAGACAAATCACAGGCAAAAACAAGAACAAAAACAAAACCAGAGCAAACTAGAGGAACACAAGAAAGGTACCTCTTGTTCATGTCGACGTCGGCCTTCTTGCAGACGATGTTCGCAAAACGGCGGCCAATACCCTTGATGGAGGTCAGAGCGAACATGATCTTCTGCTTCCCGTCCACGTTCGTGTTCTGCACACGCAGAATGTGCTGGAAATCCTCATTTGCTACGAGCGACTGAGGAACACACACAAACAAAAAGTTAAACTCCCAGCAATTTTGAGGACACGAAACAACAATTGAACAAAAAATACAGCAAAATAACAAATGATAAATTTAATCGAATCGAATTTTCTGAGAGGATTACCATGGCTAGGGTTTCAAATGGAGAAGCGCAGCGTGCTGTGATGATTGTCGGCTGCTCTGATCTCACTCTGTAGAGAAATGGCCAAACCCTAATGTTTATAATTTCCACTTTCCAGTCGTGATCCTAATATTTTCGGTCTTCTTTCTATCTAATAAACAAGGCCCAATAATAAGGGCCCATTAACTAGTCTAGTATCCACATAGCAGCCCGATGACAAAAATTGAGCTCAGTACAATACTCGTGTATTACACGAATGTCGATTTAGGAGAGAAATATGAGACAATTATAAGATGGTAAGATTGTTACTTGTCTAAACTAACAAGGAAATGTGTACTAAGAAAAAATGAACAAAAACTAAATGTAAACTTAACTAGCTTGAAAAAGTTATTTATTTATAATATCAAGTTTAATTCCAGAGCAAAAATGAATATACAAAGAACATTACTAAACATAGATTTTCATTATGTCAGCATCCGAAACGTGCGAGCCTGCCACTTAAACTCAACACGTGCTGAACGAGTATGATCCACCACCAAAGGTTTTATAAACGAACTTTGTTTACAAAGATTTATTGATATACAAATACAAATACACTTTAGATTGGATCACTAGGTCTATTAAGGATTGATTGATCTATTAAGGATTGAAAATATCAAGCCTTTTCTAAGTTTGTTTGTAACTTTGTTGTTCTAGTAATGGGTTTAAAATATCAAATCCGTTCAACTTTTGTCTGTAACTTTGTTGTGCTAGTAACTTAATGATGCAAGATCAATGTACCTGTTTGAGATTATAATTTTTTTCAACATATATTCATACTTTTATATGTAAAGTAATGTTAAATCTAATCAATTTATTGTTGGCTGGCATCTTTCATTCATGTTCTAGAAAAACATTCACTATAAGGATCGAATTCATTTTCGGGTCTTAGTACACCCAATGAGTATCCAATATTTCCAAAATCGTTTAGAACACCAATGATTATTTGCTCAATTCAAATAATATTTAGCAAACAGAACAAATTAAAAAGTTCAATGCTGACATAGATAAAATGAACCACGAGGCCAAGTAGAATGATTATGGTCGGAAAAACAGAATAATCTCACCGACGACATTGTAAGTAGAACAAGTAAACACAAACCTTAGCAACATCACAAAATTGTGCCACTTTTAACATATGAAGAAGTAAATTTAAATTAACCCAAGACATAACCAAAACAAAATCTCAGAAAAGAACAATCCATTGTCCCACAACCGAAGGGTAAAATCCCAAGTAATTTACTTCTTCTTGCCGGCATCACCAGCCTTTGTCTGCAAAATTTCGAATAGTTACAAAAGAAGCATCCATAAGGAATGGAATAACTACTTTTACGTTGCTATGATAAGTTGATTATAAGATGATAGTACACAGAGGCGAAAAGTGATTGGTAACAAAAGTTAAGAAGAAAAAAAATGAGATTTTTTTTACCTTCTTAACACCACGGATTTTCTTGGCTCGGTTCTTCCTTTCTTTCATTTGCTTCCTTGACTTCTCAACCTTGGTATCAAGACCATTCTACACACATAATATCTCAGGCATGAGTAATAATATCATATCATATCTCAAACACGATATGCATATGGAACATTTAGCATCATCATTGAGCTTCACTTAATTTCAAACCTTCCAAGAGTGAAAAGCCACCCAATAATGGTTATGTAATGTCATATACAAAACAGACGCACAGCCTCATCAACAAGACCAAAAATGGCAATACATTTAAAGTACGAATGCACATTACTCACATAAACATAACAGAAAGCTATATCCACTGCAAAGTTCAGGCAGCATAATCAAAATAAATGACAGGGATACCACTAAATTGATGCTATAGCTCCACACAAAGTTGCTCAGAAGAAACATTAAAGGCGGACCTCCAAGAATTTGACAACTTTTCATAAGCACTTAAAATGTCAAAGAAAACACATTGAAGAACACACATTTGCTGCTTCATATCACGGTTCAAAATTCAATACAATAAATAATGACACGATACATGAAGCAATCAGATAGAGTAGCAATCAGGTTTTGCACATCTTAAAGAGTATATAAATACATGGACAAATGACTAGTTACCCTGATAAGTCTGTATTTAGGCTCAAATTTCTTCGCACTCTCGACAGAATCATAAATCAATCCAAAGCCAGTAGATTTGCCTCCACCAAAGTGAGTCCTAAACTTGAACACGAAGATGGAGTTCGAATCTTTAACATCATACATTTTGGCCAACTTCTCCTTCAACTCAGCCTTCAGAAAAAAAAAAAGAAAAGAATAAACAACAATAAGTACACAAACCCACCATTTCATTTTGACTATAAGATCTTACAGAAAACAAAAAATCATTAATTTAACAACAATAAGTACACAAACGCAGTAAGCTTCTACCAGCAATATAACAAAACGGAGCAAACCTTAGAGACGTTCGCCCTTCCTGGATGCAATACGTCAATGATCTACAAAATCGAGCAGCAAAAAAATAAAAGGTCAAATGAATCTAAACTAAGAGCAACAGATTTACAGTTAGCTGGTAAAAATTCTTAAAAGCAAAAAAGAAATATAAGGAATTATTATAAGACATACAAATTGTTTCCTTGAGAGGAGACGGTTAGTCATGAACTTCCTCGTCCTGATAGTTACTGCCTTCTCCGCCATTTTCCTGCAACACAATTGCAAAAAAATAAAAATAAAATTAAAAAATCTCGAATTCAACCCATTTTCGATCTGAAGCACGATATCTCCTCGTTCATTAGCTTGCTCAAGGTGAAAAATGAAATCGGAAAATTGCAAAAGGATGAACATTAAGTACGGTTTTGTTTAAGAAGAATGACGCCGTCGGCCGGTGATCTTCAGAAGCTCTGGGCTGTCACTCTCTCCGATCGCAAGGCGTCTCAGTTCAGAAGGAAGATGAAGTCTTTTAACCTTAGGGTTTTTGTAGCCGATGATGTGCGATGCGGGGTTTGAATGGGCCCAAATGGGACGACATTGGGTTCATATTTGTCAGCCCAAAATGTGGGCTTTGTAAGTTACAAGCCCAAGTTGTTGTATTTCGTAAGTTACAAGTTGATTCAAGCTCAACACATTGTATATTCATGGATAAGAATGATATGAATATATGTGGATACAGGACAACATAGCTCA